TAGCTAGAACAACATTTTGACCACAACCTTTCCTTTGACTTCTCTTTTCTTAAAACAAAATATTCCTTCAGTTAATTAAATCATTCAAGATATTTTTATCAAACATAATAAGCTAATATGTATTAGTGAGAGCTATTCAGCTGCATCAAAAACTTCATCTTGCACATTCCTGTGACCTTGACCTCCCTCCTCTTTAATATGTATTTTGCTTAGTTTTAAGAAATAATTTAAGACATTTTTATGTTTAACATGCACTTATACATAATTTGATGAGAATTTATATCTATATCCAATTTATTTATATTTTAGTTTCAATTCTAAAAAAAACTGTTTAAGATATTTTCATCAAACTTTATACACAAATACAAATTTTAGTTTTTAGTTTTAGCTCATCTGAGCCGAAGGCTCAAGTAGCTTTTGTTGATCATATTTTGTCCGGCATCCGTCTGTCTGTCTAGCTGTCTGTAAACTTTTCACATTTTCAACTTCTTCTCAAGAACCACTGTGCCAATTTTCAACCAAACTTGCTACAAAGTACCCTTGAGTATTCAAGTTTTTTCAAATGAAGGGCCATGCCCTCATTCAAGGGGAGATAATTGGGAATTAATGAAAATTTGGTGGCATGTTTTAAAAATCTTCTTCTCAAGAACCACTGTGCCAGGAAAGATGAAACTTATGGGTTAACATCCTCAGGTAGTGAATATTCAAATGTGTTCAAATCATGACCCCCGGGGGGTAGGGCAGGGCCAAAATGGCCGACCAAAGTTTTATATAGAAATATATTGGAAAATTCTTTAAAAATCTTCTTCTCAAGAACCACTGTGCCAGGAAAGATGAAACTTATGGAGTAACATCCTCAGATAGTGTAGATTCAAGTTTGTTCAAATCATGACCCCCGGGGGTAGGGCAGGGCCAAAATGGCTGACCAAAGTTTTACATAGAAATATATAGGAAAATTCTTTAAAAATCTTCTTCTCAAGAATAACAAAGCCATAATTCATCAAATTTATATGGAAGCATCCTCAGGTAGTGAAGATTCAAGTTTGTTCAAATCATGACCCTGGGGGTAGGGCGGGGCCAAAAAGGCCGACCAAAGTTTTACATAGAAATTTATGGGAAAATTCTTTAAAAATCTTTTTCTCAAGAATGACAAATTCATAATTCATCATATTTATATGGAAGCATCTTCAGGTAGTGTAGATTCAAATTTGTACAAATCATGACCCCAGGGGGTAGGGCGGGGCCAAAATGGCCGACCAAAGTTTTACATAGAAATATATGGGAAAATTCTTTGAAGAAAAGCAAATCCATGATTGATCATGGGATTACTTTTGGATTTTAACTTTTCAATAATAAACCAATTTCTACTTTTTCTTAGCTTCAGTACTCAGGTGAGTGATGTGGCCCATGGGCCTCTTGTTTAATGTACCATTAGTAATACACATCTGGCGGGACATTCATGTCCTATAGACATATTTCTATTTTTTCAAATCATCACCTCAGGCTAAGGTCAGGCCACAATTAGGGATCAAAGTTTTATTTAGGAATAAAAGGAAACACATCTTTAAAGTTCTTCTTTTCAGGAACACCAAGAGCATGATTAATATGGAAATATTCTCAAGAGGTGTAGATTCAAGTTTGTACAAATCATGACCACCAGGGTTAGGGAGGTGCCAAGATAATAGAAAAATATTGTAAGAATTTTGATAAGATGGACAATGACCAAATACTAATATGGTTAATGACCAATGAAAATGTTGAAATTCTTACTCAAAATTTGTAAAATGATTCAGAACAATGGAATCTGATTTCTGAAGAATTGTATCTTTTTGCATTACATTTCATTACAAGTTATTTACCAGGATCCTTTATACCCCAGGCTGTCTTGGCTACCTGGAGTCAAGACTGACAGTCTGTATTGTCATACTGTTGAATAGGCACCGTCCCTTGGTGCCCCAAGTAGTCGGGCCAACAAATTAAGTTTTCCTCCTGCAAGCTGTCTTAGTTGCTTGGGGTACAAGACCGAGCAAGCTGGATTTTTTTTTTTTTAAGTTTCGTTTTATCCAGACTGCTCAATAGGCATCGTCCCTTGGTACCTTATGCTACCAGGCCAACAAAATATATACTTTTTTTAATTCTATCAATTAATAATATGATTACATGTACTGTTTGCTATTATCCGTCTGATCATTGTAGTATAAAGTAGCTTGTTTTTCTTTTCCGTGATATTGTATGCTGTGTGCAGTTGAATCTAATTTATGTAATCTTTACATAGCCACGGCTTTCCAGTATAAATCAATTACATTAGTTTATTTCCCTCATTTACTTCATCCTCTAAAACCATATTAGACTTCCAGAGTGAGGTGTTCATCTTTATGTCGCGGGTTCGAATCCACAACGGAACATGTACATTCCATTTTTTATTTGAGATGCAAACAATATATATGTTTTTTGTTTTTTTTTAAATGTCCTTTTTTCTATTGCTCTGATGAATAGCATACAACATAAATGAATGAATGATGCCTTGTGCAACATCTTTATAATTTAGTGAAATAATTTACACACCCCCCCCCCCAATGTAAACATAACTTATGAAGCTTATAGGTTCTTTGGATATTGGTGACATTAGTCAGGCAAGCTTTTTGAAAAGCTGTTACTTGTAAGATAATTAAGATTAAATAAATGAAGGATATGACGATATAACGAACAGTATTCAATATCTAAGTCCATAAAACAATACAAAACAAGAGAAGAGCAAACACGGACCTCCGAAACATTAGAGGTGGGATTGGGTGCCATGGAGGAGTGAGCATCCCCTTTAAAAAGTTGGCAAAAAAGATGGGACAAAAAAAAGACACAAGTTTGTAGTTGTAGATGCATCATGCAATAATAATTCACACAATAAAGCACGTAGCTCAGAAAAAACAATTACAAAAACACAATGCTTAATTATAATACCAATAGAAAGAAAGTAACTCTATATTACAGTATTCTTTTCAAACTTGTTTTCAAAGTTAATAAAATCTCATTTATTTTACTTATTTCTATTGACGGTAGTTACAAAAATTGATGTCAGATATATCCAAAGCAATTGCCCAGGAACGCACAACTCTGGACCCAGAATCAGCTTTATTTCTTTGTACTAGCTGCCCTAAATATATTCTGGAAGATAAAGAAGAGAAATTGAAACTTACTCACACAATACTCCACAAAATTCAAACATGCTGGCCAATGGTTGTGGAAAATCAAATTATGTTCAGCGAGGATATAAGAGAGGTTGGTTTCTTCTTGATTTCAGAAATTTTAATTTTGTATTACTTTTGTGTAATGTGTCTCATAGGCGCTTGGGTCAAGGATACTGTATTTTTTCTATATAATGTATTGTCGAGGAAATTCGAACTATACTCGTAACATTTTTTTCAGTGTGCAGTGTTAATTTTTAGTTTTTTGTAAACCTTTCTGCTTCATATACACTAGAATGTCACGGAAATTCGATTTTATGCACGCTTTAAAAACGTTGTTTTTTAGTATACAGTGGGATATGTCATTTATGATGTGTCTACATGTAACAGAATTAAAGACCAAAATCTACCATGAACATTCTGCAGATCAAAAGCATTATTATTGTTTAGTTTTGATTTTTCTTTCTAAATTTTAGATTTAAATTAGCTTATAACATGGCTTTGACATGTATTTTTGGTCCTAGTGTTCGTTAATTTTTGTTTTATGCCTATAGGCCTCTATCTATACTTGTATTTAGCGTAAGAGTAATTTTATATTATATTTAGCGCTTTATAAAGTGTTTTTATCTGTTTGATTATAAAATAATTAGCCCTTTTACAGATGTGAGTGAAAGTGGAAGCTCTGTTATAACCTATTATATAGTAAAAAAAAAAATTAATTTTTAGATGAAAATCAACTCTTCTTGTGTGGTAAAACTTCAAAATAGGGTCAAAGATTTCTTGTTAAACGCTGAACGTCTTCTTTTGGAGGAACACTGCATGTACGTAGACATTCGTGGTAACTTAATTAAAAATTATTTTTAATGCATTTTACGGAAAACAGTGTAAAATGTTAATCAAACAATTTGTCAAATTTTAAATTAATTCGGTATTTAGTTATGTTAACATACTATACGGTCAAATTTAGAAAAAGAAGAATTAAACTGCATTCCACGGAAACGAAATGGGTAAATAATCTGCATTTTTAGCACATTTTTGTTTGGAAAAACTAAATAATGTGTTCCTTTTTTTGAAAGGTGGTTAATATGCTTGTTAGAAAGCACAACTGCATATATCAAATTTGGAAAGAAATGGACATCTAAGGATGACCACGATAGCATTGATGATAGCATCCGTAAATCACTTGTTATTGTGCATTCTTATCTACAAGATCATCTAGGATCAAAAGATTCCGATACAATAAGGGAAATAAATTGCATTAAAGAGAAATACGAAAAGAAATTGGAAGAATGTATAAACAAGAACACTGAAAAGGACGAACTTACCTCTGGGGATGTCAAACAATTGTATAAAAGCGTTGGATCTAATATCAAAAAGTGCCTCAAGAAATGGGAGATGGAAATAAAATATTTGCTAAAACGGATGATGAGAAAAATTGAGCAAGAACATTTATACGGAAAATTTCATCCAACAGACAACAGTTCCGGAAGCTCCTTGAACATAAGTGAAAAGCTTATTTTTCCCCTGACGGTTTTATTTCTTTGGCCTGTTGGATTAGGTGTTGCTGCTTTTGCTGTCTTTGAATATGTAAAATCAATAGTGGAGAATGACAGTATTTCAAAGAAAACCCTCATCAGTAAGGTTGTAAAAAGAATGGACGACAATATCAATGCCAAGTTAAACGAGATCGTACATGAATTAGGACGACAGAAAGATGATCTTATGAATATGATAAGCCAAAACAAGAAAAGAAGCGTTAGATCATCGATTGTACCATCAAATTGCACGAAAGTATTTGAACAATTTAACGAAATCACAAAAAAACTTTGGAATTTATATTTTGATTCAATCATGAAAAATGACTTCCTTCCATCTGATATTCAACTAGGAGAAAAACTACTAGAAAACGTATTTGCTGCAACAATTAGATCCGGAAACAACAGTGGAAAAGAAATGGCTGTTAAGAAAATTGAAATAAAATTCTTAGTAAATTCATCAAGCGAGGAAGTTGCCTTACCGTGTGATTCCTCAATATTTCGAGAAATATACCTATTAAAGTGAGAGCTTTTTTCAAGATAATGTTATTCTTTTTATAACGATAACTTTAATTTCAACTTTCATGTATTTAACATTAAGGTTCATAAACCCTCTGCTCACTCATATAAGATTTTGCTTGAACCTTAATGATTTTCCAAAAGAAATGTTTTTTATAAGTAAAATACAAACAATTATAGCATAGCTTGCGGGGCAAAATTCGACTTCAACTTTGGAAATCTATAAAGAAATAATAGACATTTATGTCATTAAGAGTTATCTCTCTTATCAGAGTATCAATGAACCTTAAGTATTCATTCTATCTTTATCAGATTTGACACTAGTTTTGATACAGGTTTGGTTAAACTATACTGTTATTTTTTTTTTTTCAATATTTTACCATGATACAAAAATGGCCTTTAACTAAAGTCAGAAACAATGTCTTAAGCCGATATTGTGAAAGAACCCCATGTATCTCATTTTTTCTACATGTGCGTATTTGTTTAACAAATATAAATAGATTAAATACTCATGTTTCAAATATGTGTAGAAACTTGAACCTGTTTATGATCTTAAGAGACACTTGTTATATTGTAGGCACTTATCAATGAAGAAAGAAGATGAAGATTATCCGTACTTTGTGCATTACGATGGGTCTGCGGTGTGCAAGGAAGAAAATACGCTACAATTTGTAATAAAAAAGTACAAATGTAGTCTGGAAATAGTTTTGGATGAGTCAAATCTGATAGACGAAAAAACGAAATTGCAATATGCATTAGAAGCCGCCCGAGGCCTTCGATTTCTGCACAATAATGAAGTTATACATGGAGCTGTGAAACTTTCGAGTTTTTTGGTATGTTGAACATTTTAATTATTTTGTATTCCCTCTCCCGACCGAATGCCAAAAAACAGCCCAACCTGAGCCTTTTTAATCCTTCAGTTATTCATATTAATAACTACATTTATATCTGCTTTAGGTTGATGAAAACAACCATGTTGTGATATTTGAAATGGGACATTCAAACCATGTTGGTTCTCTCCGGAAAATTTCCCCCACGAGTCTCTGACATATTTGGCTCCAGAACTTCGAGATCCCTCTGCAGTCATTTTACCCACGAAATCCTCTGATATCTTTTCATTTGGGCTGTTGCTATGGGAATTGTATAATAGGAAACCTATTGAAGATAATTTATTTGTTGAGAAGTTAAAAGAAACTGAAGGTGATATAGTCGATTTAATCAGAGCATGTGTACATAGAAATCCTGAGGTTCGACCTACCATATCTCAAGTTGTATCCAAACTATACATAATTACTCAATCACTCCCAGAGCAGAATGGAGAAAGAAAAAGAAAAGAATAGTGATAGAAATACATCAAGACACTATAAAAAAGCAAACGCAAAAGACATTCACAAGGACATGAAAAAAACACAGATAAAGACCAAAAAGTATCATGTAAAATACACATATTGTCAGGAAAGGAGTAGGCAAATTGCATTATAAAATTGCAAAACAAAAGTATTTGTTTCTGTTGCTTTTTGAAACTTTTGCTACATATTTCAAAGACCAAGGCATGGTTTCAATACAAATATTGCCCTGTATTTTTTCTAAAATTGAAATTTGATGAAAGAGACTTTCAAAAATTCTATCGTTTTTGAGTTATTGAAATTCCACGCAGTAAAAATATACAAATCGTTTATTTTTCCAAAATAATCTCCTAAATGCTAATCATGATGTCAGAACGTGTGTATTTTCAGGCATTTTCTTTTTTTAAAGTTACAGAAAACATCGATTTTTGCGGAATTTTCTTTCAGAAAACAAACAGTGCATGCATCGAACACAAATAAATTTTCAAAACATTTTACGCAATACTAGTATATAAAAAATTGAAGCGGGCGACGGTGACAGACACTTTTTTCTAAAGGAAAAGAAGCACATAAATAAGTCATTTTGAAGCTTTTCTGAAAACTTAGAAATGCACCAAATTAATATTAATGATTTTATATTTTCAGAATTGTCCTCCTTATTATTGAATGATTTATCATATTCATCTTCTCAACTCGTATTAAAATCAATTTCATTAACTTTTTAAGAACATGAAATTTTTATGGCATAATGAAGCCCAAACCTAATTCTTTTAAGATTTTGTTAAGGGTATGAAAATTAAAGTCCATGCACGAAATTCAGTGATTTATTGGTAATTGTCAGTACAAGGCAAGAAAAAATGAGTGTGTGTATAGACTTTTAGAAAATCTGCAATATTTGATGGAGAGCTTGTGAAAAAGTAAAGATTGTTCGAGTTTGTTGTCATCATTAAAATCATCTAAATTGTGATGTACATTTACACTTATAGAGTATATATGAAGTTATTTATCTTTTCTATATTCATTTTCTGTATTTTTACATTGTATTAAATTTGTCAAAAACGTTCATTAAAACTGGAATGACTAACTAATGATAGTTAAAGGAATTAATTAAATTTGATTAAATTAAAATTTTCTCTCTGTCACGTGTTTCACTTGTCCAGATACAAGACAGATTTAGAGCTCCAAATCTTTTTTATGTAAACAGGACTTGTATCCAAACACTTTCCCTCACATACACTCAAACACGCATCAAATTCTACATTTATGGTTTCAGAAACATTATAGGTAATCGGGAGACTACAAAGCGAACCATTACAAATGTTATCTTTAAGTAAGGCAAAGTCCAATAATTTTCTACTTAACATTCTAGAAGTTTACATCCTGAAAAGCAAAATTTATGCAATTTTGATCCAGTAGAGCTTGCAGAAACTATCCCAAAATGTCAAACTACCTGGTAGTCACTCATAAAGAAAAGGTAATTCAAATCCAGTTTCTGAAACAAGTTAGAGTGTTCATCCCTTGATGCATTAGCCTTGTAAGTTTGGTTCAAATAGGCCTTAATTTTTACTTTAAAATGAACCTGCTACGACAGTTTTAACCTGGTCACTCATCTGAAAAATGAAGGTCAAAGCCAGCAAATCCAAAGCAAGTCAAGTAGTGTTCATACTAAGATATGTCACCATAAAGATTTGGTCAAGGTTTGGCCAACAGTTACTTTAGAATAAACCTGCTCCGAAATCTTAAACCTGATCACTCATCTGGAAAATATATATGTCATATCCAACATCCATCAAGTAGTGTGCATACGTAGAGGTATTACTGTACAATTAAGTTTGGACAACATGGGCCTTATAGTTACTTGGAAATGATACCTGCCACAAAAACCTTTTTAACCTGCTCCAAAAACATTAATCTTGTCATTCCTTTGCTGACATTGCAGCATCTAAAACCTTAAAAGTAGCTGGTACAATGAAAAACAGTAGAAGTATATATCTTCCTTGCATCTCGACCACAGGCACTTGTGACAAGACCTTTCTTTGCATATCACCAAATTTGATTTATTAACCTTGACCGTGGAGTTTGACCTACTTTTCAAAAATACCACACTTTTACTTTGGTTAAACTTTTAAATGGTTGGTGCTACCGGACGTTCATACTTCTCGAATGTATTTTGTGCGAAAAGACCTTTCATTGGATTTCAACAACTTTGACCCTTTGATCTTGACAGATTGATCTACTTTTTAGGAGTTTTAACCTTAGCCAAAACTTTTTACCGGTATGTTATAAGGTTTTCATACTTCACATATGTAATTCTTGCGAAAAGATCTTTTCTGGGATACCAACAAGTTTGACCTTTACCTTGACCTAGGAGTTTGACCTATTTTCAAAATAAAAATTCCTCCGGCCTCCACTAAAATTTGTACCCCCGTGTGTCACACACTGAAATTGAAGTCCGTCCCCTTTATTTGAGTTGGAATTCTCGGAAACATTACAGTGTCTGGAGCAAAATTATATCTAGAAGTCCCTCACATAAGTCAAACGAAGTTGAATGATAGATCAGGCACAAATTTAGCATTTCAAAATCAGGCTATTGAGAATGCATGTCAAAGGTTGGAATATTTTATTTTTTCTATTTATGAAAACAAATAAGTATACAATTCAAATGTAAAATTATTGAACACGTAAAAATAAAAATTATATACATGTATAAATAATTTACAGATGAAAATGATACAAATGGAAACTAATACAAATAAAATAAACAGAATATAAACATGATAACTGGAAAGTTTTACAATATACATTGTAAGATATTAAACATGATAAAACACACATAAAACAAATAAAAATTATACAAAGCAAATAGAGAACTATACAATACAAAAATTTTAGAATACAAATGGAAAACTTTACATGCAATGCAAATAGAAAAATCGAATATTGCAAACGTTTGACATGTCATAGGGATTGTGCAACATTTTGAATGCTTCCAAATGTTCCAACATTAGGCCTATATATTCCTCGGTTTTTTGGTAAATTGGGAGGGGGGGGGGCAAATTATTTTTTTCTTAACAATAAAAAATGTGTTGGGACTAAGGGTCCGTGTAACACTTAACAATTTAAATTTCTTAATTGATTTAGAGTTTTTGAATGTTAAAATTAGTTCAATTTTTTTCTTATTTAAAATTTACTTCAAACTTCTAAATCTCAACTTTCAAAACGTTTTGGATCTTTTGAAATTTGGTATTTTGATTCAAACATGCAAATTTCAAATAACCAAAACACTTTGAGTTTTTAGAATTTTACTTCAAATATCCAAAGTATCAAATTCCAAACCAGGTTTGAATTTTAAATGAATGCCAAAAGTGCTTGTGATAAAACAAAAAAGGAAATAGATATTCAGAATATTGAATTGTTACAGACATAGTTTCAAAATTCAAATAGGGTTTGGAAATTTGATATTTTGGATATTTGGTCCTTGTAACACTAAACAATTCAAATTTCTAAAATGTACTAAAATATTAAATTTCAATATACCAAATCAGTCTGAGTTTCTGAAATTTAGAAATTTGAACTAATATATTAACATTCTAAAACTCTAAATCATTCTAAAAATTTGAATTGTTAAGTATTACACGGATCACTAAGCCAATGTTTTGAAAAACTGAACACAAAGTTGTCGTCTTAGTTTTTCCGTTTTTGCGCCACGGCGTCGCTTTAACTTTTAGACTTTTTTTCAAGATGGCAGCTTCCATTGTCCTAAACCAGTTGTGACTGTCTCCAATGACTCATTTAATGAGTATTACATGTGTTTGGAATATTTTTTCTGTATGATAATGGAAATAAGTGATATATAAAAGTTTTTTTTAACACATATGTAAATGCATTCTTTAAAAGCAATAAGGAATATTCATAAGAGACTCTTTAGTAAAATCTAAGTAAAATTTTACGAATATTTGTACAGTAAAAAAAAAAAGGATTCATAATCATAGGTAATGTGGAACATAAATTTTGATTTTTATGCTCAGTAAAATGTCAATTTCAAATAAAGTTACTGGCCATGTTTATACAGTTGTACTTACTGCCATGATTATATTTGAATTGTCTCATTTTAACAGTGAAATTAAAACATTCCCACTTTATTTTAGATCAAATACTACTAAATAAATCTGCATTACATGACTAGATATGTTCAAAGACTTCATGTAGCACATTTGTCAAATATGCTGGAACCAGACACAGATGAAACTGAAGCTTTAATGAAAAAGCTTATTCTGCAATCGGTATTTTATTAGATTTTATTTACAATAAAACATGCTTTAACAAACTGCTGGGGACAGACAACTTTGCTTCATTATTAATGTACTAATTGTTACATTTTTTAAAGCTATTGGGAATGAAAATCACTTTGCTTTATAAAGCATATAAGATGCATGTTAAATTTAGTTTAAAATTTAATCTTAAATATATTTCAAATTATGGTTTGTGTAAGCACCTATAGGAAGCACCTATCAGTTGTAATTTTTTTCGACAGGGACTGCAAGATGGCATTGGCACTGATCCAGATAAAAAAGTTTCTTGGACAACAGTAGTTCCCACACCAGGTATGGATTTATAAATATTCTTATGAATTATTAAGTGAACATTTCAATTGTAATGTGAAATTTAAATGGGTTAATTGTACCAATTTACATTGTATTCCAGGTTTCTGTTTGAAAACAAAGAAAGAAAATGGTGAGAAGGTTTTCATAAATGTGTGCCAAGCAGAAAATGTAAGTGGAATTTTGCTAATAACAACTTTTCTACAAGATTCATGCTTATAATAAAAGTCAAGCTGTATTGATACATGTATTAAAGTTATCAAATTACTTGAACATGTTTATTTGCATTTGCTTAGCAAGAATTTGGAATAAACCAGTTTTTTTTATGTTTACCATTTCTATCTTTAAAACTTTTGGGTTCAAACTTATGGACAATTTTACAATTTAGATGCATGTTAAAAATGGTAAACTGAAAAGTTCAAATGAAAGATGAAACAAAATACATTGTACTGGATAATATGTAAAACTGTACTTGCAAGGATCGGCATTCTGTGTTATATTTTACAGGTACCACAGCCAAAGGACATTACTGAAGAAGAATTGCTAAAGTTGTTGGAATCTGAGGATCCATTTGGATTCCGAGTTCCAATGAGTATCGGGGAACCACATGCAGAGATAGATAAAAGTAAGTAAGCTCTGTGTCATTCCAGAATTGATGAAATTACAAGTTTTGATTATGTTTATAAAGCTTACTAAAACTTTCAACTATAAGGAAATGGCATTAAAATACATGTGTACATAGATTCTGAGTTTTTTAAGCCCTACTATAAAAAAAGATGTTTGATTCACTTTTCAGAAATTGGAAATTTTTTATCCACCATTGAATTTGATCCGTTTCAGGTGGACAAGGGTGTATAGCCTATGATGTTGTGATACACCCAGGCTTTATGGAGAAGATGAAGGACAGTGAAATCTTTAAAACTTTCTTCTTATCTGTGACTTTGGAGGGCCTGGAGGAAAAATACTCCATAGCATTGTCCAGAGGTTAGTATTATGTCAAAAGTCCTGGAGGAAAAATACTCCATTGCATTGTTAAGAGGTGAGTTTTTATGTCAAAAGTCCTGGAGGAAAAATACTGTAAACCAACTATTATTCGCGTCATCTTTTATTCGTGATTCGTAGGGTTGAAATCAGTCTGTGACGATTACTTTTAGTGACAGAGGAAACATCATTTACAAATACTAAGCAAAATTATTTGTTCACAGCAATTAATTTTCACGAGGTTAAGTTGGTTGGAAAACTCGTGAATATTTCTCGCACACAAATAAAAGTTGGTTTACAGTACTCCACAGCATTGTGAGGAGGTAGGTATCATGTCAAAAGTCCTGGAGGAAAAATACTCCAGTCCAGTGGTGGGTATCTTGTTAAAATCCTGGAGGATTGATTGTATATTGTTTAACGTCCCTCTCGAGAATTTTTCACTCATATGGATACACCACCACTTGCTGGTGAAGAGCTGCAAATTTTGTCATATACTCGTCACTCAGGGCCATTGAGCAGGGAGGGATCTTTTTCGTGCCAGCACCTACTGCAACACGGGACCTAGGTTTATACAGTTTCATCCGAAGGACCAGTCTCCACATCCCACAGTGGAATTCAAACCAGCGACCTATGGATGAACTCCTAATTTTAACAATCTAGAGCAGACGCTCTATCCACTGCGCTACGCAGGCGACAAGTCCTCCTCAGCATTGTGCACAGGTGGCTATGTGCAGAGGTGGCTATTATGTCAAAAGTCCTGGAGGAAAAATACTCCATAGTATCATCCAGAGGTGGGTATCATGTCAAAAGGCTTAGAAGGGAAAATCTATATTTTTGACTGTAGGTAAGGATTATGTATAAATCATAATAATATTCATTCCTCAGTTGTGAAGATCAGTGAGAAAATCAAATAATTTCATGTACATAAATTATATAGCGCATATAAAAGCAATCAAAATACCAAGAATATTAAAGTACTAATTCTGAGGAATTTGCTAGTCCATACAATATTGTTTACTTGAGACGTAATTATTCCTTACATTCTTTCTTCAGACTGGGTAATCCTTAAGAACAGGAAAAGTGTAGGGAGACTCCAGGAACAGAATGTCAGGACACAGTCAAAACCAGTCATCATGGAAATGGGGGAGTAAGGGAAATAATTATCTCGTAGGGTAGGGAACTCGTCAATGCAGAGAATCCAGAATAAATTTCTTATTGCTACGAAAGCAAACCATGTCTTGCACGTTGTAAGACAGGTGCTTGCTAACAGGTGCTTTCTACCTCACTGTGAGAGTTGATTAAGTCTAATTTTTGTACCTTTGTTTTTGTTACAGCCAGTCAACATCTGGAATAGGAAAACCATTAATTCAAGAAATGGACACACCTAAGCCTCTATCTCAAGAAGAACTCAAAGCCAGGTAAACATTGACTTACTTTAACATGAAAATAATTTATTTATAAGAGAACTTTGACTAAAAATATACATGTATATATAAAGATCTAGTGCATATTCACACTTGAATGTTAGATCTATACTCTTTCAAATTCTTTTTATATAGCTATCTGATTTTACAAACTTACATGTACATGTTAATCTGCCATTGACAGAGGTCAGAAACCAGAATTCCGTATTATACAGGACCCACCAGAAGGTCACCCAGATTTCTTAGTGGCTGAAATCAGTCTTCCACATGTGGTTAGTATATATTCAATTTTGTACATATAAAGCTTTTTTTCATGTATCTTTTTTCGTATATAATATACAAGTATTTGTATTGCACTTTTTTGTGCACAATAAATATAATTTTTTTTCGAAGGGTGGCACTGGTTGTCCACCAAATTTTTTGGGATCAGCTAGCTATAGACCAACAGCTAGTGTATTGTTATTTTTTTTAGGTACACCAATTACAGTAAAAATGATTATACCAAACATGCTTATAATGAAATATAAAATTTTTTCAAAGGGTGGCACTGGTCGTCCATCCAATTTTTTTGGATCAGCTAGCTATAGACCTGCAGCTAGTGTATTGTTAATTTTTTTAGGTACACCAATTACAGTGAAAATGATTATAGCAATCATGCTTATATTGAAGTGATGCATACAACAAAGTTATTTTCCTTCCCATTGACTTTAAAATCAATCCAGTTTGGATTGATGTCATTATGTACAAACTCAAATTTTTTGCACTTTTGTTAGAAATAACTGTGTTAATTATTTTAAATTTTTGACAGAAAATGGCCAACACGTTAACTATTGACGTGGGAGAGGACAGACTGGTCCTGGAGACAAGATCCAATAAGTACTACCTAGACATTTACTTGCCTTATCTACTGGTACAGGAGGACTGTGTGGCTCAGTTCAACCGAAAAACAAGGGTAAGTTCAAGTGTACTGTAAAACAAGGGTAAGTTTATCTACTGGTACAGGAAGAATGTGTGGCTCAGTTCAACCGAAAAACAAGGGTAAGTTCAAGTGAACTGTAAAACAAAGGTACATTCAAGTGTACTGTAAAACAAGTGTAAGTACTACCTAGATATTTACCTACCTTCTCTACTGGTAGTCTGGTACAGGAGGACTGTGTGGCTCAGTTCAACCGTAAAACAAGGGTAAGTTCAATTGTACTGTAAAACAAGGATAAGTTCAGTTCTATTATAAAATCATTAATTTTAGTTGGAACACGTCATATGATTGGATAAAAGATTTTATCCATTTTTGCATAACGTAACTTGCCTACGTCATAATGAGTTACATCAAAAACGTATTACTCTGCTTGACGTTACTTTTAAATGTTATATTTGAAGCCTTTTTCTGGAGGAAAAGTTGTCTCATTGTCAAAATTAAATTATAAGGAATGAAGCTTATTTCAACATATGTATTATATGATATAACTCTGGGCAGTTTACTGTAGTGTATACTGCCCCAAGTTATGCTATATCTTATAATAAAAGTTGAAATAAGCTTCATTCCTTTAACAAGGGTAAGTTCAAGTCTACTGAAAAACAAGGGTAAGTTCAAGTCTACTGTAAAACAAGGGTAAGCTGAAGTCTACTGTAAAACAAAGGTAAGTTCAAGTCTACTGTAAAACAAGGGTAAAGTTTAAGTCTACTGTAAAACAAGGGTAAGTTTAAGTCTATTGTTAAACAAGGGAGAGTTCAAGTCTTTACTGTATAACTACTTACTAGAGAAAGTCTTTTATAAAACAAGTTTATATACATGTAATTGCAAAACAAAATTTCAAGTCTACTGAAGCTGGGAAATTATGCCAGAGATGTTTATACTTCTGTCTCTTTGAAAAAATCAAGAGGTGTTTATTACATCTAAGGCCCTGTCACAACAAGCTGCGTTCACACGGAATCATTGCGGCGTTGTTAAATTTTTAAAATCGCCGTGTAATCGTAGGATATTTGCACAAATTTCTGTAAAATTTTCAAAATATGAAGATGTCACGGCGTCCCTACGGCGACAGACGCGATTCTACGGCGATCTCGTGGTGTTCTACTAAGTCCCAGGGAGATCTCTCGGCGATTGACTGCGCTTCCGTGGAGTTTTCACGGCGCGTTAGGAGTTTTCACCTCGTGTTCACGGCGTTCTCACTGCGCTGGCTGCGTTCATAATACGTTCACAATGCGTTCTATACTCATTGATATATTTTCAGAAGGAATGTAAAACATTTTTGTTTAAAGATTCAAGTTACACGATGAAAAGACTTCTAATCATGCCAAGAAATATTCTTAGTAATTAAAAATATTCTATTCAAATAATTAAGTACTAAATTTTAATTAGTTTTATGATTGAACTTCTTTTTTCAATTTTATCGGTTCAGATGTGTTGTTAGATTTTCTTTGATTTTATTATGAATGTAAAAAAAAAAATAAACACACCGAAAAGTTTATTACAAAATTTAAGTGAAACAACAGTACAAGTTCTGGTGTAATTTTCTCTTCCATTTTTTTTTCTTCACTTAAATGCTCCTAGTGCAACAAATACGTTGGAATTATTGCTGATCAAATATGATCTCATTGCTCTTGTTTTGTGAGCTGGCTGACAACGCTCTAACAAGGCCGTGAAAGCACAACAGATGCTGTAGAAACGCCATGGGAGCGCAATGATCGTAGTGACAACTCCGTGCTGTCGCCGTGTAATCGCAGTCGAAATAATCACAAGACGATAAATCTCATTAAAAGCGCCGTAAAAATGCGGTAAAACGCAGTTACATCTCCAAGGACTCCGCGACATCTCCGTGAGGTCTCCGTGGAAGTGCAGTCTACTATCATGTGCGTCTTCACGGCGTTCGTACGGAGCTCTCACTACGTTGTTGGAGATCTCACCGCGCTGCTACGGCGATTATACTACGTTTCTACTGCGTTCTTATCAGACCGCGATCACACAGCGCGTACTTTGTGCATGCCCAAAGTGATCGCCGTCCCCTGGCGTTCTAGGAGACCCTACGCGACCCTACGGCATTCAGTGGACATCTCGCCGCGTTGTCACGGCGCTGTAGGAGACTCTACTGCGATCACCTCGGCGTTCTGTATTTTCTGAGGACGCCATGCATGCAGTCGCGTGAGGACGCAGCCCTGGTGTGACAGGGGTTTAAGTGAAAATCCTAGAGTACCAGTATGTTTTGTACCTAGCAGAATAAATAAAAAGTTTTAATGTTCAAATTATTTGTAGAAAGAAATGTTCAAACATATATACTGGTTAATTCTGCAGCTTAATCTGATGTATCTTGGTAATGGTATGCATTTGGATACTTCACTAATGGAGTCATTGGTTTTCAAAGAAGTTTCAGATTAAAATAGACCTTTTACATTAAATGGTTTGAAATCTTTGTACCATGTAATGTTGTCTAAAATATTGAGAATATTTTTTTTTCTTACAGATTCTTACTTTAACATTACCAGTTCAGCCAGAAAATTGAACATCCCATCTTGGGGCCATTCACCGGCTTATATAAAAAGATCTCAATGAGTGCACATAACTTCCTCAAAAAATAAAATTGTGACTTTACATGCTGCTGTCCAATGTGTGTCAGTTACCCAAAACAGCAATATCTGTGATGAAAACTTATCGAACTCATTGAATTTGCATTTTTTTCTCAGTAAATTTATTGACAAACATCTTTATTGTCATTGTCATAAAAATGCACACCAAGGATTTTTTAAAACAAAAGAGTGGCAATTGCAACTTCTGCAGCTTTAATTAATAACAACGATGTACTTTGAATGTGTTACATGGTATCCATGACAATCCCTCTTTTCAGAAACTTTGAAATAAATTTAGTTTAGGAGACTTGGCTCTTTTATGTAAAGTATGGAGATGAGGTTAATCAAAAAATAGAATGTGACCTTACAACCACAGCCACCTGTCGTTACTTGTTATTCTTAAATTAAAAAAAATACACCCATACCAAATAATACACAAGGCAAACATTACACCATCTTGATTTTTTCTAGGTTAGGTATGGGGTTATTTTTGGGAGTTGAACTATGTTCAATCTCCCATGGTTATCACGTATTGAACATGCGCAGTAGTTTGTGTTGATTACATAGAGACGAAAGCGAGGCTACTGTGTCGGCTGATTTACTCCGATGATATTCAACAGAAAACATGCATAAACATCCGCGACAAATAGTTCATGTCATTTTCTCCTGAATTAATCTAATTTCCATAATGTAAGTAAATGTAATGATAAAGTAATCTTATTTTGGATATAAGAATTCGTTCAAAGTACATATGTAAAGCTAAATTATAAAGAACCATGAAAGTTTTTCGTAACCATAATTTAATAAAACGGATGAATAAACAAACATTGTTTTGTTTAAAGTTAAACTACATATAATTCCGTTCCCCGGTATTTCAAATTTTGTGTAATGAACATGTTATTTATTTTTTTCCGACACTTTCTTTTGTGCCCGTCCGAATTTCCTCTGTCTTGTAAACAAACTTTCATGTTTCAGAAATGAGGTAAATATAAACGAAAATTAATTTATTATTTTTTTAAAATTGAAAACAAAGTGTAAACGAATCATTTTTGCATGTTTGGTATTTTTTTAAAAAATATATTTTTTAAAAAAGAAGAATTATCGTTCTTGAATTCCACTTCGGCTTTCGCGCGTTGCATTAAGGGAAGGAAAACCCTAGTTTGGGGGTATACCCCCGTTTGAGGGTTCGACTAGACTGGTAACGGAACTCATTTTTAGTGTAGCGTCATATACACTGAAAGAGATACGAACGACAACTCTACATACTGACGGCAAACGTTAAATTTAGTCATATTCAAACTTTTCATGAACATTTTCTTGGTTTAACTGAATTCGTTTATGCATAAAAACTTTAGGAAACATGCGTATTTATTACTTAATCAGCAGTATCACCTGCAAAAACGTCTCCATATCAGTGAAATATTCTGGAGAGGGACGTTAAACAGTATACAATCAATCAATCACCTGCAAAAAGCGGTAAAACTAGTACTCTGTTATAAATATTAAAACCAAAAACGGACACC